TCCATCCATCCATCCATCCATCCATCCATCCATCCATCCATCCATCCGATCACGTGTAGGCCTACATCGTACATGATCAACTTTTATAAAACCTCGAACCAAAGACCACAGAAGATGCTCGACAGGGTTTTTCTTGAACATCCCAGTTAACGTCATGTGACCACACACACTCACTCACACACACTCACTCACACAACATGTTTGCATTGACGCAAAGCACAGTTTATAGATGTTTGCCTGGGGTCGTAGACTGCGTGACCTCCCCATTAGAGTCAGGACGTGGCACCATCCTGCCGCCAGCTCCTCTGGTTACAGCGGCGAGGAGCAGCGGATCCTGTTTCTATTGATCTGCAGAGGAAAAGGGCTGAGCTGGACGGTTAGAGAGGTGAAATTTAAAGCTCAGAGGAGCTTTGAAGGACACGGGGAGGAGGGTGTTCTTATAGGTGGGTGGGATGCTGGACAGGCCGCAAAGAGCCTGAGGGCACCTGCAGTTTCTGGAAAGGATGTAAGTGTTGCTGCTTCGGGAGCGTTGTCCCTTGACATGTAAGATAAAATATAAATAAAAAAACTGATTTATACAAAAAGCCTTTACATGAAACATTCTGAATGTTTTGTGAGAAAACTGTTCAGGTTTACTGGAAGTTGAACAGATGTTGTTCCCAGTTGCTTTGATTTACACTCTAGACTGGGAACTGTTTTTGACACCACTATTTAATGTGGGAAACTCCCCTTTTCTCCGCATTTATATTTCATCTTGCATATTTTCCCCTAATGCTTCCATTGTACACCATTTTCTTTTCTTATTTATTACATCACACAAAGTCATGTATTTCTCAACAGCATTACCTTCTGATGCAATATGACACCATGTTTAACTTCTTAATTTGACCTTTTTTGGCAAAATGTTTCTTTTCTGTTGATTTTTGGGGGTCAGTTCCTTCACCCACCACAAGAGAGCAGCTGTGATCTTTTTATAAGGCAATCTTGTCTCCATTCAGTGTGCATGCTCCTGTCAGGAATAAAAACATGCTTTATTCACGCCACATCCTCCAGAGCCTCAGCTTTTCTGTGCCACACACCTGTCAGCCCCCGCCGCCCCGCAGTAATTGCTGTTTTACCCTCAGTGACTCTCCATCCTTAAGATTGTCCTTGGCAGTTTATTCTCCTGTGAATTAGTCCGGAGCCCATGGAGGCCCGGATGCTGCTGGCCGAGCTCAGGATGACTCATTGGGATCAGGTGGACAGAGCGCAGTCGTGCTCGGAGTCTGCACACAGCATCAGATCTGATGAGGAAGGGCAGGCTGCCCTGAAGAGTCTCAGTTTCTTGCTTTGAGGCCACTCATTGCAATATCTTGAAGATGGGTTAAAACACACGCACATAGCAAGAAGCAAAATCTGCATTTTTCTCATATTGGCTGGTGTGCCTTTAAATAAAAAAATGTGAGCAAAATTTACCTGCCAACAGTTTGTTTACCTATACGGAAACAGTTGAAGTGACTGAATAAAGGTGACATACGTGGATGAACTATTTGGGATTGAGAAATTGCCACTTTGATTGGTGATATGTGCTGCTGATCTCATGCTGCTGATCTCTTGCTGCTGATTTCATGCTGCTGATCTCTTGCTGCTGATTTCATGCTGCTGCATTCATTCATTCGTACCGGTCTGCTCACACAGACTCATGTTCGTGCTTCTGCTATATTGTTTTGCATTATTGGTGTTTAGCGTATATCTTAGTTTATATCTTAGATCCTTATTACTGTTTCTTTTTTTACATTTTATATTTTCTAATATTTAATATTTTTTAATATTTAATGCTGTTTTAATATTTTTGCTATTGTTAGATGTAACTGGGACCCTGTGTGCATAATTTCGTTCCACCTCATGTGCCACGTGGTGAAAAGACAATACTTGAACTTGAATTTGAAGTTGAAATGAGCCAATTTTGATGTATTGATCAATATTTACACTCTGATTTGTTGAGTAAAGTATGTGACTAAAGGTGTTTTTGTTTACATTGAGTGCGTACCCTCACTCCATATATCTGGAAAATTACTGGAGTAAACACTTTCAAACTGCACCGTTTGATACAGTTCAGGAATCGCTTTGATTGTTGAGTGAGCTTGATTTCATAGTTATTCATGTTATTTCATGTATTTTAAAAATATTTGTTTATTTATTTATGTTCATAGTTTCTTTTAAATTTTTATCGTTTAATTTTTTTGATTTTTGATTCATAGTTTGAAAAGCAACTGTTTGATGCAAAAAGCACTTTGACCTCGCTCCAACATAAAATCTGCAAAGCTGAAGCTCTTGCACGTGCATCAGCTCCATATTGCTCAAAACAAATGATAAAACGCAACATGTTCTATAACTGATGAGGCTCATTTAGTTTTCCATCAGGGCTCCCGCGTTCATCTTCTGGTATAACTCCGCGCGCCCTCAGGGGGAGTCACTGGTTTGATGACAGGAGCGTGCTTTTCTTCCTCACGTCATCATTCATGGGTGACACGCGTTGCTCTCTCTCTCTGTTGCGCGCGGGGGACGGAGCTGCACCGCGCCACGGATTCCTGTAGGCGCCCTTCTCGCCATGCGCTCTCTCCGGGTCGCAGCCTGACGCACCCGCGGAGGACGAGCCTCCTGTCACATCACGGAGGGAGGGGGTGAGAGAAAAAGGCAGAGGCAGGAAACTTTGCGTGGTTGTGCTCGAGATGCCGCGCGGGCTCCCCATCCTACGATTCCACGGAGAGACAGGAGCTGCATCCTCCTGAAGCCGTTTCATGCCGGAGAAAGTTTGCGCGCCACCTGGTAGAGGAGAGAGGACAGACATCCGCCCGCGTTCCGTTTCATAAACTTACTGGAGGAGTCCCTCACCCACCCACTCCCAGCAGGCAGAAATGGGCACCCTGCGCGACCTCCAGTACGCGCTCCAGGAGAAGATCGAGGAGCTGCGCCAGAGGGACGCGCTCATCGACGAGCTGGAGCTGGAGCTCGACCAGAAGGACGAGCTCATCCAGAGGCTGCAGAACGAGCTGGACAAATACCGCTCCATCATCAAGCCGGCGACCCAGCAGGTCCACAAGCAGACCGAGCTGCAGGAGCAGCAGCGCACCAAGAGGCAGGCGATTTCTGCCGAACCCACCGCCTTCGACATCCAGGAGCTCAGCCATGTCACCCTGCCTTTCTACCACAAAAGCCCGCAGTAGGTGTTCCGATTTGGACTCTTTCTGGTGGCCATCACTCTGTTTGCAGCGTTGTGTGTATGTGTCTGTGTGTGTGCTCGTTTCCATGTGCGATTCTGGTGCGTAATGTGGCGCAGCAGGTACTTCACCTGTAGCGCAGGCATGGATTAGATGCTGCATTCAAGCACACACAAGCACACACAGAAGACACTGAAGTGGACACTGAAAACGTCTGCAGCTCTGCACAAATCATGGAACTTTAAAGTTGATTGTTAAAGCCAAAGCCAAATGGAATGCATCCAGGGAGGTTAGTGGAGATGGTGGCAGCAGGTCTGTTTAATCTACAACACCTGCTTAATACAAGTGGTGACAGGCAGTGCAGCAGCCTGCACATATTTATCTTATAGTTCAAGATTTTTTTTCCACTTTGTAAGCCTTTAAACAGAAAGCCTGATGAGCCTGAGCTGCACGACCAAACTTCACAAGTGCATTAAAAACTGGTTGCATTTGAACTTTTGTTGAGTTAAAAATAAACTTCCTGTGGGCTGGACAGCCACACAAGAAACACAACTCGAAAAATGTGGATAAAATTAGCAAAAGCATGGATTAGAGCTATTTAAGAAATAATTTTCCATAAAAAGAACCTTTTTATTTCCTCACGCATGCTTTTCTTGGATTAAAGTAAAAAGAACTTTTTTCATTTGAAATGAGAATATGTGTCAGAGGCGTCATTCTGCTGACACGTGAAAGGATTCAAATATGAAGTGCTTTTTTTTATTTGAGCAGCAAAGTGTTGCTGATCTCTGTCATACCTGTCAGCTCGGTGGAGAAAACACAAAACACACTCCCTGCTTCTGTTATTTTCTTCCTGAGATGTAGGACAGTGGTCTGAAATGCGTGGCAGATGGGGGAAACACACTCAAGTGACCATTTCATTAAGATAATCACCCTCCCTCTAAGCCTTTTATTACACGAGTGCGCGTATATCCATTTAGAAATGTCCCAGGGACTTCTGGTGAGACGTTATTATACCATCACAAACTGGTGTCTCAGTTACAAGTTTATTTTACTAACAATAATCATCATTTAAGAAAAGTTCATTAATAGACATTTGTCAAACATCCAAAGAAACGCTTTAGCTCAACTCTTGGATCCTGAAAAATTCTCTCCTCTCATGAAAAACCTCGGATTCAGTCTCTGTAACGACAACTTAAGTTTCCTCTGCGATGCCTTTTTACAACCTTTATTTGACATTTTATTTTTTATCTCACTCCTAGTGAGCAAATACATGAAACATATGATGGGGATGTATGGACAGAATATAAATGACTTCAGAGGGTCTAACTTTTCTGTTATCAGACAACTTGTTTGGACGTTTTCTTGAGCAACTCACTAAAGTTTGTGCCCCCCCCCCCCCCCCCACACACACACATAAGTTAATTATTAACTCCAACCATTTCAAGAAAAAACAGCTCAATTTCTTTATGTTTTTGTGCTCGTTGAAGTGCAGCGATAACGCTTGTTGCAACTGGCCAAGCGTTTCTGTTCTACTTTTATTTCCCCCCACTTTATCTTTATTTGGCTGTGAGGACATTCTTTTGACCTACACTATTCATCCTTCTGTCTCATTTCTGCCCCGTCCACCCCCTTTTTTTTGGCTCCTTAAAGAGCATATTTTCTCCTTTTAAGGAAGGCTGAACTTGCTCAGCTCCAACTTTACTAGAGGACAAAAAACATGTATGTCATTCTTGCAAAGCGGTGGGAGGCAGATGTTTTTATGGGCATCTGGATGAAAGAGGCTGCACAGAGATGGCAGCAATCAGGGTTGAAAGGCTCTAGTAGGTCTCTTGGGTGTCAATTTAACAAGAACAGGGCCAAATAGACTCCCTTTCAGACTGGACTTCAGTTTTGAGAGAAGATAAAGCAGATTCTCAGCTTGTTATTTTTAATTTAGTTCCCTCTTGGTGCATAAAACATCTGGATTGTATAACAATCACCATAAGAGTCATCACAGACCAGAATTAGCTTCTTTATTAAAGTTTACTCCTCAGAACCTAATGAGGTTTTCCAATTTTAAATCCATATTATCTTCCCCACCTGCCAAATAAAGGACAAAGGGTTCAGCGCAGACTCAGGGTGAGAATATAAAACAGGTGCAATACCTCATTGTTTCTTATTACATTTTTTTTGCACCAGCATGACTGGACTCTCAAGGTCAATAATGAAATACTTAATTATTTGAGGAGTATTTTGGGGGAACTGAGAAACACTGGCTTGGTTCACAACAACAGTGTTCAAACAGAAAGCTGCTAAAGCTCTAAAATACACTCACCTCTCATGCCTCTTTATTTCCTTTAATGTATCCCGAAAACAAAATAATATCTTTGAAATAAGATCAATGCAGCAGGCAGGAATTTTAAACGTACACATCAGAATGAAAGTGGTGTTTGATCTCTCATTTAGACAAATATCCATCCATCCATCCATCCATCCATCCATCCATCCATCCATCCATC